GTTTCTCTTTCGCTTTGGGACGGCCGTCAATATGGCGGCGCGAAACAACTTCCGGTTCAAGCGAGGAGCGAGGAGCGAGGAAACGACAATTAAGAGACTTGAGAACTACCCACAGTCGTGTGACGACATAGGAAACAATTGTGAATGACAAACAGAGCTTTGGAGATTTATCTGAGTCTGATGAGCTTTAAAACGCACACTGTGTGTCTTGCGCCACGGCTCCGGCTGTTCTCATCCAGCATTCGTAGCTTTACCTGCGAAAAATAATGTGCCGTAATCTGTAGATATCCTACGAAATAATGTAATATGTTATCCACGAGATCAGGAACGAGGAAGTGGGGTGGATGAATCCATCGAATACGGATCTTTTAGCTAGGCAACTTCTGTTCATTATTTTACAATCTTTTCTTGAACCTAACTAAGTATTTCACGATCTTTTATTAAACCTAACTAAGTATTTCACGATCTTTTCCTAAACCCAACTAAGTATTTCATGATCTTTTATTAAACCTAAGTATTTCACGATCTTTTCCTAAACCTAACTAAGTATTTCATGATCTTTTATTGAACCTAACTAAGTATTTTATGATCTTTTCCTAAATCTAACTAAGTATTTCACGATCTTTTATTAAACCTAAGTATTTCACGATCTTTTATTAAACCTAACTAAGTATTTTATGATCTTTTCCTAAACCTAAGTATTTACGATCTTTTCCTAAACCTAACTAAGTATTTCACGATCTTTTATTAAACCGAACTAAGTATTTTACGATCTTTTCCTAAACCTAAGTATTTCACGATCTTTTATTAAACCTAACTAAGTATTTCACCATCTTTTATTAAACTTAACTAAGTATTTACGATCTTTTCCTAAACCTAAGTATTTCACGATCTTTTATTAAACCTAACTAAGTATTTCACCATCTTTTATTAAACTTAACTAAGTATTTACGATCTTTTCCTAAACCTAACTAAGTATTTCACCATCTTTTATTAAACTTAACTAAGTATTTCACAATCTTTTCTTGAACCTAACTAAATACTTCATACTGGAGTGAAGACAGATCACAGAAAAAACTTTAAGTATATCACTCTCAAGTTTTATGTTTTATGATTCAACATCTAGTTTAAAATCTGTGTTAAATGCAGGTCTGAACAACAAAAAGGACCCAAAACAACGTTAGAAAGAGTTGCCTTTTAATGATCTGTTTTCCCCTGATTAACTTTTATGGATATAACTAAATTAATCAGGAGAGACTGTGCGTCTGTCTGTCAGCAAGAAACACTTAACATGATTTATCGTTATTTCCATTCAGTCACATGAGGCTGATGATTCCCGAGTTCCAGGTTTGATATGAGTCACATCATTTCAATTTTCCCCGAAACATTTAGCCTGATAAAAAACTCCCAGTGTTCAAAAGGAACCATAATTACATCCTGGGTTATTAAATAATGAATTTGCCATCAGAATGTTGGTAAATACAGAATAATGAATGAGTAACAGCAGAAATGGTTCCTGTCACTCGGAGCAGGACACAGTATGAATGCAGAATGCAGGTTGTTCTTCATGTGCAGGTAACAGGCTACAGAGAGAAAATACACAAGTAAGGAAAAAACGTGGATGAAATTTCAGAAACTTGGGATTGTCACCTGAATCTGCAGCTCGTCTCGGATACACAAAGCTTCTAGGTGACTTTCACCTCATCGGTTATCTAACCAGGCGGCAACCTCCGGTTCTACCGAGTAAAGCCGATGCTGAAGTGTCTATTAAAGCTGCATTCTCTCTAATGTCCACCAGGGGGCGACTCCTCTGGTTGTATAGAAGTCTATGAGAAAATGACTCTACTTCTCTCTTGATTTATTACCTCAGTAAACATTGTAAACATGAGTTTATGGTCTCAATCTCTAGTTTCAAGTCTTCTTCAATACAGCACGATGTTCATTTAGTAAATTATACTGTGATTGACTGATCATCATCACTTTATTCAAACTCGACAGAAACAAAATAAAACTCATAATTTCTGCCCCCAAGAAGCCAAAAGAAATGAAGTTATTGCAACTTTAAGGACGAATCTTTCAGCCCAAAAATTGGCCGATTTTTGTGTTTCTCTGTAAAAACTGTGACCTCTGATAGTTAAATCAAAAAAGTTCCTCTAAGAAAAACCCTATTTTTACTGGAAAGTCAGACCCACTGAATTAACAGAACTGGCTTCTAAAACAGGCTGAGTCATGAAGTAGAAGTCATAAATGAATTATTATACCTTCTTTTAAACCATATTAATAAAAACCTCTGGAAAGTTGAAGTTCAAAGGATTTCTTCAGCAGTGATCTCCCAGCATGCACTGCAAAATGTAATGCATTTGTCACAGTGCTAAAGAAACGTCTGGTAAGTAACATTTAAAACGTTGAATTGGTTTTAAATTGTTGGGCAAAGAGACAAGTGTTTATTAACTTGATTTTCTGACGCTGCTCTTTGACTTCTATTCACCTTCATCTTCTTCTCTTTATCTTCTCCCGGTGTTTTTATCTGCTCCGTCATCCGTCTGACATTTTCTTTTCATCTTTTCAGTTGCCTGTGGTCTGTCTTTTTTCTTCTTTATCCATCTCTTCTACTTTTACTTATCTGCTCATTGATCTTCATTTGGTGGTCAGGTTTAATGACTGGGACGCACACCATCTTGCTCTCCACACACACACACACACACACACACACATCCCCCAGTAAGTAGCCTTATCCCATCAATCAGCTCGGTCTCATAGCGCTTCTTTCGTCTTATGAATTTTTAAACACTAAAAAGTCTCCTTGCCAGAAGAAATGAGAAGCCCCCATCTTTTTCTTAAATATCAGGGTAAAATCCAGAGTTGTCACTCACTTCCATATCTTTCAATCGTGTGTGCGCGCGTGCGTGCGTGCGTGCGTGCGTGCGTGCGTGCGTGCGTGCGTGCGTGCGTGCGTGCGTGCGTGCGTGCGTGCGTGTGTGTGTGTGTGTGTGTGTGGCTACCTGCAGGGTTAACAAAGCCACCACAGGCTCATTCAGGGACAGACTGACCTGTGAAATCGTTCGTCAAGAGGCAGCAACACACCAAAGGGGATTAAGGTGAAAGAAACTGCTCGCTGGGTGATAACAGGGTTTAAAAAAGAAAATCTAATTTAGTGAGAGATTCACGGACATGTCGTTAAAATGAATGTAGAAGGTCAGTGTTTGAGATAAGACATATCTCTGTTGAATAAGAATGAAGCAAGATATGTCAAAGATAGATTATTCAAATTGAGTTTTACTTCATTCGAATGTAGAAGTAGTAGTATTAGGAGAATATCAGCAGTAAATATAGCAGTGGCAGTACAATAGCAGTAGTAGACTGATAGTAGTAGCAGTAGAGAATAGTGCTAATGATTATGCCTCTCTAACACGCACCTGCATGAACAAGAGACGTTGATTCAGTGGAAACGACGTTTAGAGAGTTTGATGAATCAGATTTTTAAAGATTTTACCAACAAACTCACAGAAAAACTCAAGTTTAGCATAAGAAAACTGAAATGTTCTTGCATTGTGTCCTAGGTCAGACTAAGTAATGAACGTCTAGAACAACATTACATCATTAAAGACTGAAACCTCGGGCTTCTTTCACCCTTAAACACATTTTTCCAGTGAAAGTGCTGGTTGATTATTATTTTTTCCAGCCGGAACTTTTCTTTCACCTCTGACTCAGATTGCTTCAACAACAGGCAACTGTCTGCCATGAAACTCTCTAAGTATCACATTGCATTAATGAAATCGAGGTTGTACCTTTGTCTCAGTGTGACGCTGCTCTCATTTAATCTTTGGAGGGAAAGATGAACCCAAATGGTTTTCTGTATTTACATCAGTCATCCTCCTCTTTATGTGTTTTCTGCCCAAAAGGGTTCAGGGCAAGTTTAACATCTGCGTGGTGCTTCTTTTTTTAATTAAGCATGTGCGCTATTCTCATTTTCCTCCCGAGGCTTTGTGACGATGTGTGAAAAAATAATAACAAAAGTAATTGCTGCTGACTTTATTCTAATGATATTCATGCCACAGGAGCAGCCGTGGAACAAACACCTTTACACGGAGATGAAATGCGCTGGACAACCTGTCAGCTGTTTGCAGCACGAGATGTCTGAATACAACGTCGCGAGGTGAAAACTAGACCTGAGCGTGAACGACTTTCTGCCTTCAGTTCGTAGCAGATTCCAGATCTAATATTAGTGTGTAAGAAGTGTAAAAATATATCCGCTGCTTGAAGTTTTGGTTCTGTGAGGTTTGAAGAATAAACAACAAACAAAGTGTGGCTATTAGATTTGTTTTGACCCAAGATTACCCAGAGTCTGTGTCGCTACATGTACTTTTCAAACTAAATTTCGAGGATTTATCTCTCCAACATCTAATGTTATCGCTGCAAACGTTAGCATGATCCTGCTAACTAGCTACTATTCAATTTCAGTTATTGTGTATAGCCCAAAATCACAAATCACAAATGTAAGGGTTTTACAATCCGTACACGTGCGACATCTTCTGTCCCGGGACCCTCACAACGGTACTGGAAACACTTCCCCCAAAAAACCTTTAACGGGGAGAATTATTTTTTTAATAATTAATTAATTAATTAATGATAATTTGTTTAATGCATTTCAATATGATGATCTGCTTTACATTAAAATATACTCTAAAATATAATGTTTCATCCATATTTGGATTTTCTTTAACCTGCGAATCAACAAATCAGAGTCCCATCATGACGTGTTTCATTCAACGACCGAAACAAAACATCCCTCTGAGACAATGCGTGTTGTCCTTGTCCAGCAGCTGATTCACACTCCCGCTGTTCACGGTAAGCAGCTTTGTGCAGATGGCTTTAATACGCTGTTGCCTCCTGATTCGTCCACTCTGCTAACTTATTCCTTCAGGAGCGGGCTGAGAAAACGGGCAGGGAAACTGATCCACACAATGCTGTGAGAGCCTACTCGTTGCGGTCCAGTAAATGTAAAAGAAACGTGAAACGAGGGGTGCTGGGTAAAGCGGATAAAAAGCAGGATCTTATTGCGCGTTTTGGAGAGCTCAGCGCAGCGCGGACTCGGTGTTGGAGCCTGAACGCGTCAGATGAACGTCCTCAACGGGGCCGAAAAAAACTCTCTCGGACTTCACCTGTAACGCTCGTGCTTATCTCTGGACTGCTGGATACGGCTCATAGATGAAAACTGCCCCCGGAGAGAGTCGTTCTCCGTCGGACAAGGAGCCCGTCAGTCTGCGGCGCGCGGCGGAACACCGGCGACCATGTCAGACATCTCCACCGACTTCAACAACGAAACGCTGCCGGAGGCTGCGGTCGCTGACTTCAACTTTCCGGCGCTGATATTCGGGATTTTGCTGATTGTGATCATCACCGGTGGGAACGTGCTCGTGTGCCTCAGCGTGTATCTGGAGAAGGCTTTAAAAACCACGACGAACTACTTCATAGTCAGTTTGGCGTTTGCGGACCTGCTGCTGGCGGTGCTGGTCCTGCCGCTCTTTGTTTACGCAGAGGTAAGCGCAGATCTACGGGAGACCCAGGATTACTGAACGAGGCAACCGGGTACAAAACCGAGGCGCACGAGGGGTCACGGGGGTCATTATATCAGGATGTGTTAGTGTTCCATATCTGTGTTTTATGCAGTGTCAGTGTGGATCTGCTGCTCTGTTAAACAGTCTGTCAACAGTTTTTGTTAACCTTATTTAACCAGCATTATACCATTGAGATTCTGAATCTTATGTAAAAGGGGGTCTTGGTCAGTTTCACACCAGCACCATATAAAAACACAGATAAGACTTCAAAAACAAACCAGTTAAAAACATAATTACTATTTTTAAAATCACATAAAAGAGACAAACAGCAAACTGCATTAACCAACAAATACTTCTCATTCAGTGTCCAGTGCTGAAATGTTCCTAAATCCTGTTTCTAGTTTAAAATGTCTCTGCAGCTCACACCGAGATGAGGGTCTAACAACTTTGGCAATGAAAGATAAGGTGGCAGTTTGTGTAAAATAGACTTATGCAGACAAGTGTATCAATATTCCATTCTATGATTGTTCTGCAGAATGTTGTTGAAAGACACGAAATGACTCTACAAGGAAACACAAAACTACAACGACATGCAATATAACGACAGAGAGACACCAAATGACCACAAAGACATGCAAAACGTGAAAAGACACAGAACAACCACAAAGATGTGCACAACGACTGCAACAATACACCAAATGACCAGAAAGACACACAAAACCAACGCTGTGCAAAATAACTAGACACGCAAAGCAATGATGCTAAACAACTACAAAGACGAGTAAAATGAACACCAAAACATTTAAATGACCACAAAGAGACACAAGACGACCACACAGAGACACAGATCGACCACAAAGAGGTGCAAAACAACTACAAAAATTGATAAAATTACTAAACGTCACTGACAGTCGCTTTGTGTCTCTTTCAGTCTGCCGTTTTGCTCCAGTGGAGGTCGAGTCGTGGGGGTCTGTGTCAAGAGGCCCATTGTTTCATAATCCATCCGTCACAGAAGCCCGTATCACTCCTAACACCTGCAGACATGTCACACCTCAGTTTCTAGTGTGTAAAAACACACGTTTACACGGATAGCAGTCTAATAAATCTCACAATTCTCAAGTAAAATCAAATATTTGAGCTATCCCGCCTAAGATTATAAAAAGGATCAACGCTTGAGCTAATCCGCTCCTGGAAGGTTTCTCATTAAACCCACCAGAGCCGGTTCATTATGGCACAAAATAGAAAAAAAGACCATCGACGTGCTGCCTCGCTCACTTGTTTAATCAGGATCAATTAAGAGCTACGGAGACACCGGGGGTTCGCACTGGTTATTAGGAGAGGCATGGTCCATGAATCACAATATTCCAGGCATTATACAGACGTTGGAAAGGATAATCTAGCCCTTAATAAAGTATTAAACGCCACCTGCCTGCTTCCCTGTCTGTCTCAGCGATGCCCTACTGAGGCTTCCCCCCTTAAGTCCTCCTTATTAGCTGCATTTGTGATCTTGTTACCTGTGCCAGTGGCTGCAGACAGTTAATCTACCCAGAGTCACGCCGGCAGGTTCTTTCGCATGCACTCACCGGATTAGAGGAGTCAGTCTTAAAACCTCGCCATGTTCACCTGAGGAGAAGTTAGGTGAGGAGGAAGTGTTTCACTGGAGGAATGTTTGTCTCAACGCTGAGCTGCAGTGGTGCAAGCGGATTAAACATATTTGCTCTAGAACAGCTAATCAGTTGGTGTGTTTTTTGTGTGTGTTTTATTTCTGTGTAGTTTCAGGGGGGAGTTTGGACCTTGAACATGGTGGTGTGTGACAGCCTGATGACCATGGATGTGATGCTGTGCACCGCATCCATATTCAACCTGTGTGCCATCAGCGTGGACAGGTACGAGTGTTTGTCTGGTCAAGGTTTAGATGAAGACGTCAATCATACCTCTGATTTTCATTAATGTTATTTAATGTGTGAGCCAACGGAACGAGGGAATGTGGCAACCAGAGGTGGGAGGGTGAGGAGTCATATTTATCTAAAAGTTTAAACAAGATTAGAATTGTATCCATTAAAGAATCAGACAACAGACACTGTTTGAATATTCTACAGTAGACACAACGTATCCTCATACAACAGTTCGTACGATGTCTTACAAAAGTTAGTTAGGTTGAGTAAAAGATTGTGAAATACTTCGTTAAGTTTAGGAAAAGATCATGAAATACTTAATTAAGTTTAAGAAAAGATCGTGAAAATATTTCGTTAAATTTAGTAAAAGATCATGAAATACTTAACTAGGTTTAGGGAGCTTTGTGACTTTTTCTGCTGGTTGATGATTACGTTGATTACATGCAATTTGCTTTCGCAGGAAATCTACGAACTACAGTGCATTCATTTTCGTGGGTATAGTTAGGAATGCTGCATGCAAACAGCCTGGTAGAGATTTAAAATGCTGCTTAGTTCTAGTTAGTTCTATCTGAATCATAATTGTTTATTTGCCAAGGTATGCACATACAAGGAATTTGACATGGTGGGTGGTGCATAGCATTAAACAATCAACACAGTGCAAAGCCACGTGAGGGAGCCTGAATGTTCGTATTGTTCGGATAATTGTAGCCGACTTATAACATTGAATCTAATATAAAAGGATAGCGTACATTCTGTTTGTTTGACTGATGAGAGGAAAGAACTAGAGTCTGTTCGCTCCATCTGAATGCATTAATTTGGTCTCATTCATAAAACAATTTAACATACAAGTTTTAAATATTCACTGCTTGTGTTAGTGTTAATGAAAAACACAGCAGATGGAGCTGCAGAAGGTCTCTGCATAACAAACAGACAATTTACATTTCACACATGAAACACCTGTAAAAAGTAGAAATTAACAGCAACTGCTGACTTTCTGTCGGAGCAGCAGGGCCCTTATGTACCGTTCCTTTTTTCTTCAACTACTTATTTTGACTATTTTTAGCAGCATGTTGATCAGCGTCTTCTTAAAGTAACCCTTTAAAGAAATTAAAGGCATCACGAAACATTAAAGCTTTGGAGTGACCTACAACTACTGATTAATATCTGACAAATACAAAGTAATTGAAATAATGAGGAATAAATATCTAATAGGCATTAATTAACCGATGTTACAACAGTTAAGTCTTTTCGACATGTTCTTTATAATCTACAACGCAGCTTCCATTCGTTTTCAGGTTCATTGCCGTGTCCATCCCACTAAACTACAACCGTAAACACGTGGACCACCGTCAGCTTGTCCTGCTGTCGGCCACCTGGCTGCTGGCCCTGGCCGTGGCCTCGCCCGTCATCTTCGGCATCAACAGCGTGCCCAACCGCGACCCCACCGAGTGCAAGCTGGAGGACAACAACTACGTGGTTTACTCCTCGGTCTGCTCCTTCTTCATCCCCTGCCCCATCATGGTCCTGCTCTACTTCGGGGTTTTCCGTGGGCTACGACACTGGGAGGCGTCGCGTAAGATCAAGCTGCGAAGCAGCATCGAGGCCTGCAGGAAGCTGCAGCACGCCGCCGTCGCCAGCGCCCTCCCCCCGCTAGCGGGCACCATCCCCGGGCCGCTGCCCATGCCTCTGCCCAGGATCATCGAGAGGGACTTGGCCCAGTCTCGGCTGGACGACTCGGACGACTGCATGCAGCAGGAGATTCCCTATCCTCGGCAGTACCGGGAGAACTCGGTGCCCACGTTGACGTTCAGCCAGCAGCTGCACAGGAAGAAGAGAGCCAAGATCAACGGCAGGGAGAGGAAAGCTATGCAGGTGCTACCTGTAGTAGTAGGTGAGTGTTCATGTTGTCCCTCTCCTCCAATCAGAGGCACACAACAGCTATAGTAACAGTTAAAGAACCATGTTTTAATCAATTCTGAAAAGTGCAACCCATGCGAAAACGCTTTGACCCTACAAATATTCAGTTGTATTTAGGGATGGGTATCGTTTGGGTTTTTTCCGATACCGGTGCTAAAACGATACCGGTGCTAAAACGATACCGGTGCCTGAACCGATACTTTTTTCTTCAAATTGAACAATATATTAAGTGTTTAAAGTATACTATAAATATAAATAAATACAAAAGACTTGGCTTCAAACTACAGCTTCAAACTTTTTAACTTCAAACTATGAACAATATATTAAATGTTAACAGTTTACAGTATACTTAAATAAATATAAATAAATACAAAACACACACACACTCTGTACACACACTACAGCTTCAAACTTCAGCAATTCTTTTGCAGAAATATGAGCATATTTGGCAAAATACGACGCCTCTTCTTTTATTTTACCAGTTGGTGGCGCTAATGCGCCAATTCATCGTTTGCCAACCGCCACTACACCTCAAAGAAGAAGAAGAAGAAAGTTTCGCGTTCCTGCGTTGTTGTGCTAATGAGCGGCAGCGCTAAGTACCCGGATGTCGATGGAGGAAGTCAGTAGCCTGCCAGCCGTTTGACAGATCTCGTTCTCGGTTTTTTAAATAAATCATGGCCGAAGCTTCGCCAGAATGATGGAGGGGTTTGTTTCTAAGCGCGCACGGCTCGGCCGGTTGTAATAATACTATGAGTGAGGAGCGGAGGACCGAGGCTGCCAGGACGGAGTCATCAGAGTAGTGTAAAAAAAGTATTTCAATCGGCTCAGGCACCGAAAAGGAAGCACCGAAATCTGCGTTGCGTTTCTGTCCGGTAGATACCGGTCGTATAGGAACGGGTGCCATATTAGCACAGATTTTCGGTACCCAACCCTAGTTGTATTTAGCTCCACCCTCTCGTGTCCCTTCTGGTTGCAAAAAACCAAGATGGCGACAGTCAGAATGCCAATATCGAGGCTTTAAAACATCAGTCCACAAACCAATGGGTGACATCACGATAACTACATCCACTTGTTATATACAGTCTATGGTTTTAATAATGAACTACAAATCACTACTCTGCATCTGTCGGACACGTTACACACAGAGTTCGCTGCTTGCTGCAGGTTTAGTTCAAATCTTTGGTTTCAAAAAGACAATTTGTGAACACAACTTATACGCTCAAGCTGGAATCATGCGTCTCCCGACTGCACGCAAACAAACAAACATGGGTGTCGCTCCGACACTTTTCAGATGGGGAGGGTTTCATTTGTGACCAGTAACAAGCAGCGTCACTTTGAAGAAAATGAAAAATAAATCAGGAAAGTGTGTTTTTCCCCAGTGAAAGTGTAAACAAACCACTACATGAAAGAAACGTGAACGAGTTTTGATTCATCCGCGTTAATGGACGGGACACAATGACAACACGGGCATCGTTATTCAAGTTTCCTCTGCTCTGCTCTAGAAGATCACTTGTGACTATTTCAATCTGTGAGCAGAAGTTTGATTTGTTGTGCTTAGTGAAGCCTGTCAAAATTAACGAGAGAGAAAATGATCTCCAGTCATCTAATGATGCTCTAAACTGCAGCTTGCATGTTGCAAATTTAATGAAACTAATCCCTCGTCTGCAAAATGCACCACAGGCCAGAGCGAGAAAGTATTACTGATCCAGATCACATGGACCAGAGAGTCCTCAGACCTGGTCTAGATCCAATAGTGAAGGGGTTAATCTGACTCAAAGCTTGTTTTTCGGTAGCTTAATGTTCACTGAAGATTCTTGTTTCTCATTGGCCGGCAGGTGTCCGTTATTTAACAATTTAGTTTACCATCTCCATAAAGTCTGTTCACTTTCGAGAGACCGATGCTGACTTTGAGTCTTTAGTGTTGGTCAAACTTCCCAAAACACTGGATCCTACGTTTCCCATAATGCAACTTGTTGCTGTTTGTTATTACGCCCTCTCTGACTGGTTAAATCCAACGTCTTTCAAACTCCACGTTACCAGTTTATAACTCCGTCTTTCTGTTAGTTGAAAAAAAAAAAAAATGTAGTCTCCGAGCTCAAGCTGACAATGACCTGATGACATCACTATGACATCATCAGGGGAGGCAGAGAAGTAACAATTTGGAGAAAAAAAGTATCTACTTGCTTCTGTCAATTTAGGAAGTTACCCTTCAGAATAAAAGCTTCTTTTCCAGCTTCTTTATGTTTCTTCTCAGAGGTGACATTTCTACATCTCGCTGATTGTACGCCAGCGACAGTTTGTGATCGGTTGACTCCATGTTTGTTCGCTGGATATCTGAGATCTGATTCCTTCACAGATTTTTAGTTACATTTGGTGTAGAAAGTGAAACTGAGGGCCGTGCTTTGAAGAGTCTCTGATCTTCTTTAACGAGGGCATTTTAAGTATCGAGATTACATTTGTCCCTGTTAAAAAAAATATTTAAAAGTAAATAAATAGATAAAATAAAATAAGGACTTCAGGGTTCATGTCATTATCTGGGTCGTGTGTGTGTGTGTGTGTGTGGTTGGACGTCGGGCATCTTGAGTGCCTCTTGTTTAAGGTATTATCTACATGAATGGATATTTAGATTATTTTGATTGCTTTCTCTTTCTAAGAATATTGTACCACTCAGAAGTGATTGCCTTTTGCTGTTTGTTTACTCGTAGAAAATATTCTTCCACTTATAAAAGAGAAAATGTTGTTTCCTGTGCTGTCAAGGGGCATCATGCCTTACATTATGGCCACTCGTGTACTTCAGTAATCTGTTTATTCACTGAAGCAGGAAATGGAAGCAAAGCTGCTTGTGACAGCAGATGAGGCGTTTAAGTGCTGAACAGTTCAATATACTAATGACTAGCCTGTTTAAAATTGGCAGCGCAGCAGCAGCTGTGTTTGGAGCCCATTAATCACACAGCATCACAAGATACATTATGAACAAATTAATCTCAGAAATGTTTACCTGCTGCATGGTTATGAAGATGAAATTGACTTTGGACTCTCGAGGTTGATCGAAACGTATAATTAGCTTTCACACTTTAACAGTTTAATTGATTTATGTTTGTGTTGCAGCTCAGTTAACCGAAGGTGTGCGGCTGCAGACCTTCATGCAGGTTTATTGTGAGCGCCGGGATGAAAGCGTCACCTCTGACTCTCCGTCTCTCAACATGGAGTGACACCATTAAAGCTTAAAGCCCTCAATCCAATTAATATTTAGCACACGATGATACAGTCACACCGTCGCTGCTGTACACAGAGAGGCTAGGATCTGTTTGGACCAATGACCCACCTGCGATGGCTCTATTAAATGCTACATATATGCAGCAATTTATGGAAGCGTCCACACTAATTTATGTCAACAGACTTACGACGTGCAGTGCAAAGCGTCAGCTACTAAAATAAAGGCTTTTTAATATTTCCTTCCCTGTCGTTCAAAGATTTTGAAGTGCCTGAATTACATTCCTGCTAATCTCATGGAAGAGTTCTTATTCAACATTTAAGATTAAATACTCACATATTTATACAAAGAAAGTTGTTTACAGCAAACTATGAAAATAGCGTGCCAACAAAATATTAGAGCCCAAGACTGCACAACTACATAATAGACGAGATGACATTTATTGTCAACTCTCTCTGGCGTATGAACAAAGTTATGTACGTAATCTGTAAACTCTGTGATGCAGACAGAACAGACAAAGATCCCTACAGAACGTATCAGACCTGAATGCATCTTATGAATAAAAAGTGATGTGCAGACAGTACAGCTGTTGCACATTATGCAAAGTCCTAAACCTCATCCATCAAACCCTCAACACAAAGCTAATAAATCGTTCGGACGCGTTTGTTCACCGACGTGCGACGACACCTGAGACTAATGTCCTCGGTTTGATTCAGTGACGCGGTTATTCATAGTCCGCTGATCACGGGACCTGAGCTTATTAGAGGAGCGTTATCATTTTCCAGCAGAGGTCTCACCTGTGTTTGTTGAGTCTGCGCTTTTGTTTATAGTTTGAAGGCGGGATGTAAATCATGTTTTCACGCTCGGATCTCTAAATCGGACAGCAAAAGATGTCCTTGTGTGGCCATTGAATGTGTAAAAGTTTTCTTCTTCTGTATCTTTTTTTACTTCCTTTGGTTCTAATGACTTTCTGAGAAAAAAGAAAAGTCAAGAAATCCAAAATTTATCAAACCCCCCTGAGCACTAATGTCTGGGGATACAAGTTATGAGACAGCAGGCTCGTTACATTTCTACTTCATCTCTAATGACGTCAGCACGGTCGTGAATCGTTCAGTCGCTGTCAAGTCACAATGAAACGTCCTCGTTTGACGCATTTCCCCGGTGAAGCTGAATCTTCACACAAAGCTAACAAGGAGAGAAGGACTTGTTTTCAGATGAGGAGGAGGGACGGCTGTTAAATAAAAAAGTGTTATGTTCTGCCTGCAGCTACAGCACGAGGTCATCTGTTCAAAGTTATATTCTTACATTCAGCTTGACATTTATTTTCCATAATTATAGGATATTAAAGTTACTGTGAGCTTTTAACTGGTCCTCAACCAGTCTCAGTGTAGTCCTGATCCTCTATGTGACCTCCACCTGCAGCCTTGGACCTGCAGTCGGAGCTCCGGAGGGAGGAGGAGAGCTCAGCTCCCGGCAGCAGCAGCGTCTCCTCCTCCTCCTTTGTGAATTCAATTTCATGTTTTTAAGCTTCCACCGTCGGTCCATCTTTGATCTGGTCTGTTCTTGGGTTAACACAGATTTATTATACGTTAGAAGCTGAAGTGTTCGGGTCATTTCAGCTGCTTTTGTGAATCTCATCTCTAACCGTCTCACAAGTCTGCTAGTTAGAGGTCAAAAGTCATCTCTCTCTTGCGAATCCTCCGTTTTCTTTACACAGCTCCGAGTACAAAACCTCTTCATGTAGTAAATCTGTAATAAAGTCTGTAAGTGTGTGAGATTTCTTTTTATCTCATGACTTTAAAAAAATGAAGCTTGCAGGCATGAAACTGAAAGCACAAGCTTATAAAAGTTTACAGGCAGAAAACCTAAATCTTCAGACTTAAAGAGACAGCAGCACATCTGTCAACGTCTGGCTATGAAGTTAAAGCCGGAGACAGGACGTCATAAAAAAACCTGCAGAACCGTCCGACACGTTTTTATTATTTACTAACCGGGAGAGATCATCATGTTGATAAAACTGAAAGACTACAGGTGCCTTTGAACTTGTAGTTTCGTAGAGTCAGTCAGAGTGATAATGATACAATAGTGGAAAGTAACATTTACTCACATACTGTATAATTCTGGGCAATGTGTACTTTGACTGGAGTATTACCATTTTCTGATAATTTATACTTCTACACCACTACAAGTCAGAAGTAAATACTGTACTTTTTACTTCACAAAAGTAATGAAATACCTTTAGTTACTTTGCAGATTAAGATGAATGATATGATCTTAATATCATCATTTTAATATTATTATAGATTAAAATATGACTTTATTGATCCTGGGTTGGAAATCACAAGCTACCCAGCGATATATAAAGTTAAATAAATAATTAAAGTAGCAAAGTATGCATAGTGAGTATGTGTACTTTTGGTATATTTTGAGGATTATAACTTACTTAAGTAAAATGTTTTATCAAAGTATTTCTACACTGTGGTATTACTACTTTTACTTAAGTATAAGATCTGAGTTCTCTACGGTTTGTTGTGACACGACGCAGCGCTCACAGCTCTGAATGCAGAGTTGGATCACAACAAACTATTAAAGTAGAATAATCTTTATTCTGTTCTGGATTCTATTTATTCTTTTGGTAATACGGCAAAAAAGTGCTTTCAAGTTGAACCATTTCTTGTTTGTTTTCTTTTTTTCGAATATATTTTGGTTCAAATGAACAAAATCAATTTTAAAAATTGGAGGAAAAAAATATTCTTGTTTTACAAACGATCCTTTTCTACATGCAGTCGTACATTTACTTGAGTAACGTTTTTAATTTCCATTTTCTGCTACTTCATATTTCTACTCACTACATTTGTCTGTCAGACAGCTTTAGTTCATTCGCAGAAAGAAATGCGTACACAACACGATGAACTTATAACACACGATGCGATACATCGTGTTTTATGAGTTCATCGTGTGTTTTGTACGTAAAATAGATTAAACTACAAGATAGATATTTAACAGTGAATTACCTTCAGAGGTCATTTTTTCAGCACTATGCGTACTTTTACTTTGCTACATTTGGCTGATTAATTACTTGCGTACTTGTACTTGTTAATGCAGGATTTTAACATGTAGTGGAGTATTTTTCACAGCCTGGTATTTGTGCTTTTTCCTTAAGTAAAGGCTCTGAATCGTTCTTCCACCACATGCAACTAAAACAAGTAAATAAATAACGTTAGTTACCATGTCCGGACTCAGTTGGAGTGAAACACCTTCGTCAGCCACAAAACACAATCTAAAGAGACAAGAGTTTCTCTTTGAGGAGGAACTCACTGTGCCAACGTTTGAATTGCTTCAAGCCCTCCAACACTTCACGTGGTTGATTTATGTAATTTCCTCGATCCTGCCAGCAAAAAACAGATTGGCTGGTACAAAGAAAGGCACAACTGGTGAGAGAATAACAACCCCCAGATGTGTATTTCTCACATTTTATGTGACATTTTGAGATTTACAGTGTCACATTTATTTATGTATTTCACTGCTGGCACCGAAGACGATGAATGCAAGCACGACGTCTGGGTCTGAAGTTATTATCCAGGACGAACCTTGACGTTCATATATACTGTATATATTCTTTGTTTACATGCAGGCTGCTTCCTGTTCTGCTGGACTCCGTTCTTCGTGGTGCACACGATGAGAGCCGTCTGTGTGACGTGCGACGTCCCCCCCGGTCTGATGAGCACCGTCACCTGGCTGGGCTACGTCAACAGCGCTCTCAACCCCATCATCTACACCATCTTCAACACGGAGTTCAAGAAGTTCTTCAAGAAATGCTTCCGCAGCTGCTGCTGACGCCCGGGTTTCTGACCGGGAGGTCACGAAGCTCCGTTGGGGAGTTTCCAGTTTGGCCTGTTAACTTTAGGAGAGGGATGGTTGTGATGATATCTGACCGACGGGAAAAATACACTCCAACACTGATACTAGTGATATATATATATAGATATATATATATATATATGATATTTATGGGCCCATTTTATCATCTGGTGATGTTCTTTCTTGATCCTGCGGGATTTACTGCCCAAACTAAAATGATGATGTCGGGAGGGAAAGAGAGGAGCTTTTCACCACTTTCAGTTTGTCTGTACAGACAAAATCACTCTTTACTCTTGAAGTTACGGTCTGCCAGTTCCAGCCAACGACGGGGGATTTGTACAAGAGAGGATCAACTCAGGGCGAAAATGTCCCCGGGAGATCGAATAAGCTTCGACAGACCAGAACGTAAAAAAGCTTCAAGACTTAAAAAGAAAATCCTTTGAACTCAGTCTTTGATGTTTCTCGTTCTTATATACGCTTAAAGGAATACAATTGACATTTTTGGGAAATACTTTGATTTTGCTGAGAGTTAGATGAGAAGAGCAGTACCACTCTCACGTCTCTACGCTAAATGTGAAGCTACAGTCGGCTGGTTAGCTTAGCTTAGCACAAAGACTGGCAACAGAGGGAAACAGCTAGCCTGGCTGTGTCCGATAACAGAAGTCTGACCACCAAAGCCTCTAAAGCTTAATTCAACAAACACGTTATGATAATAGATTAGTTTTTGGGCCCTGACGGAGTATCTTTCCGACAACCTTTCTGAGACTCCTCCCATTTCCAGTCATTATGCTAAGCTAAGCTAACCAGCTCCTTGCTATATGGAGAGTGGTATCAATCTTTCTTAATTCATACGATATTAAGAAGCGATATGCCTTAAACTCAGAGGATGTTCTGTCTCTCTGCCGTGATAGAAGTCAAACTCTCGACATACTGCGGCGTTAATGAGATCCCGCGTTTCCTATTCAAACCCTTCGTCACACATTATGTCAAAAACACCCGTCAAACACTCGAGGATGAGGAGTCCCGACCAATGTGTTGCTTTCTGCTTTCTTCACCACAGTGATGCGATTCATTCTAGCGGTGAGAATATGACACACGCACGTTAAAATAAATCACACGTGACAGGAAGAGAGGGTGACCATCTTTTTAAAAATAGTTCTCCTCTGCTTCTCCCGAAAGAAGAAGAGTTTATCCTCCCACTGATTATTTTACTGCAGCACTTTATTTCTGCCTCCATTACAGAAGAATATATCCATTTCATAAAACAAAAAGAAATGCATTGTTGAAACAAGATCCTTTTCATGGTAGTTTGTTCTTGTTATTGCCACATAAACTATTTCTACACTATAGTTCATATAATAACCAATCACTTTATTAAGAAATCTCTCATTATTGCACAAAAATCAAGAAACTTTTTAACGATTTTCTGTATTTGCAGCATGTTTCTTTCTGTGTTGTGAAATACTTGTTTCTCAATTTGCTCTTGTTTTATTTCTTTGCAGAAATAAGATGTTTTCTACATTTCAACACATGTTGAGCTCTCAAGACAAAAGGACTTTCCCAGACAACTAAAGTGCAACTTAAATTAAGTTCAACAGCTTTAAACACGTGGTTAACGTTGGCAATTTAAAAATAAACTTTACAAAACTACTTGGTTAGGTTTAGTAATAAACATCATAGTTTAGCTTAAAATGAATATGTAACTGAAACAAACTCAAGTTTCATGTAATAAACCAACTCGTCGCACTAAAATGAGGACTCATCAAGTTGTGTGTAATAACAGCAAAGTTTCAGGACTAAATTTAAACAGATTTTCTTTTTTTTATCTGGTAATAACAAGAAATATATGTAATTATAACATGAAAAATATCTGTGACAAGGATCTTGTTGAAATGAAAAACTAAACTTTTTATAACGAGAATGTGATTTAATGTATTTTGTCATCGTGGCAGTAAGAACTTGATGTATTTTACACTAATATCCAGCCTCGAATGATCTCATTTCTTTCCAAAACTATTATTTCTGCTACATGAAAGACAACATATGATTTATCAATAATAGTAGTCTCAACTCATAAGTCTGGACCTCTTAAAAAGCAGCAACCCCGTAGAGGAAGTCTTTTTGTACTCAGTAATGAATATCGGATTAATTTTGTTTCAGAAATGTTTGTATGATGTTGAACGAAACCTTTAAGTTGCTATAATAGAAGAAGTAAGTGAAGCATCTCCAGATTGTGTCTTGATAACGTTGCTCACTAGAGTCGTGATATCTTTTGTGTCGAGTTTTATGAAGAAGTCGTTTCTATGTTCTGAAGCTGAAAGTATTCTCGACTGCAAGACGGCTTAACTCTGAGTGGAATCGTCCTTTAAGCCGTTACTGCCTGTCACCACAGTGTGCGTGTTTGCTTACTGACTGTGCCTCTTGTTCGCCATATCCACGTTTTATGTGGAAACCTTTCTAATAAAGTGTGTCATCTTTCTAAATGTTCCAGTGGCTGAACTCTAATCAGCTCCGTTTGATTAATGTCCGCTAATGTTCGATAACTTCATGTGCTTCAACGCCTCGCGCCGGAAGAACAGACCTTTCATTGAAAGACAAGTTTTGTGTCTCTTTCAGATCATTTCGGATGTCTTTGTAGTCGTTTTGAGTCTCTTTGTAGTAATCGATTGTCTCTTTCTGATCGTCTTGCATCTCTTTCTGGTCATTTAATCCATCTGGAGATGTAGAGATGTCCAGAAATCCATTTATGCATTTAAGAAGCAATGCAGTGCAAGATTTCTGCTTCTTTGAGGGAAAACTAGAAAGTACCAGAAGGACTCTGAGATACAGTTATAAAAGGTCCAACATTATCTCTGTTGGATTGGATTAATGGAGCTGGGAAACCACCAAGTAAGAAGAATAAACCATGAACAGGCACCCAGCTGAGATGTGCAAATTGGATATCAGGGTCTGCACAGTCTTATTACTTCCTGCTCAACATGTGGTGACTTCATGTCAACAGCAAAATTGTGCCATTTCCATCCATGGACTGTATTTCAACTGTTGTAATGGGGGGGGTTGAAAAAACTGAAGTGAAAAGAAGAGAGATGGAAGAGAGTCGAGACAAGTTCCTTGATATCTTGGTTTTGATCATATTTGAGTAAAAAGACCGTGTTGCTTCTGACCGTCTGCATCAGTGAAGTTTCTCTTTCAATCTTCCACGTCCAGCAAATCTGTCATTTCTGTATCGACCGAGTTTAACACCTCAGTAGTTGACAATGATCTCGGTTTGATTTTTGGTCGTCTGGATTAAATTTTTTCCATCTAATCTTTAATAATAGACGACCAGAGAGGCAAAAAGAATATCCTCTGGCTCACTAAAGCCAGACTTCCATCTTTACTTTAGCATGAGGACCGTCACTACGTCTTTAAGCATCAGATTTGTTTTATTTTACTGAAACTCGTGTCCTGGATTGAGCTGCACCAGCTATTTATTATGTAAAGTCTCTTAGACCCTTACATTCTCAGTAACAAGTAGATTCAGTTTGTGATTTAATAAAATCAGATGGCGCCATTAAAACCTGAGAAACGTCTTCGCTAAATATAGACTTCAGTAATCAGTATAATCAGTCACTGTAGCGTCACAAGCTGTTGGATAACTTACGAAATAACACTTTTAGGAAGCCAAATAATATCTTAAACTTAAGAGCCAATCCTTCATAAATGTAAGTATGACTTTGTTTTATTAATGTATTTTAATATGGAGGAATATTTCGGAGCTTGCGTACTTAATGCAGTTTAAAGTGAGAGGAAAATAACTTAGAACACAAACCTAACTGATGTTATTTAATCATTTACTGACATTTGTTAAGTAGCTCTGATTTGGTTTGAATGAAGATATATTGATAAAACATATAAGAGTTCACTTTTTATTTTGTCAACAACAGCCTCGTCTGTCAGTAATTATAAATACAACACAAAGCAGCAGTCAGACAGGAGTCTTTGTCACGGTCCTCTGGCTCCCTCTGCTGGTTCTAAACACCCTCACACCTCGTAAAAAGTTGTCCCTACTGTCCCAAAACATCAAAGAGCCTCACTGGTGTTCCTTCATCACCATGAACACACACTCTAGTTTATTGTGACTCAATCAAACACACAAATACTCACTAGAGCACCAAATGTGGATTCATCCGCTGCTGAAAATAGTCCCCAACAAAAGCTCTATTTCCTCCTGTTTGTTTGATCAAAAGCTACAGCGAGCAGCCGATTTAGGAAATAACTTAAAAAGATTAAAAATCTAAACATAACATCTTGTTTTCCCGTATTTCCCTTAAATATTGATATTTATTTAAAGGAGACATATTGAGCACATTTTTCAAGTTCCTACTCGTATTTTGGGTATATAATAGAACATGTTTTCATGCTTTAATGTTCAAAAACTCTTTATTTTTCTCTGAATACACCTGTCTTCATCCGCTGTCTGAACCGCTGCAGCTTGGGTCCATGTTTACTTCCTGTCAGCTGATGTCATTCACACACATCGCAAATAAACTCGGACACATTGAGAACGCTGTAACACTGTGGATGGTCTTTACTGTAGAGTTTGGATCCACAGTCTCTGAATAGGGGCTGTGAGTATTTCACCATGGATTGACATTTCAACACTTTCACAGTTTATATACAACATTCAGACCTGCTTTATGACATATGGGACCTTTAAATTTGGACTTTTAATTCCACTAAAGTAATGATTTTCAGTGGAATTAAATGACTTCATATGAACGGACGTTGCTTTTCTTTTGCAGACTTTCGACACATTTCATGAAGTTAGAGGTGAATAAATAAAACATAATATTGCACATCTTTCTTATTATTATGTCCACATGGTCAATCAGCTGCACATATAAACCTGCACCTGGTTTGTTTCCCCTGCGTGTCACTCACCTGCGTTTTGCTGATATTCGACTGTTGTAGCAGTTCCTCATTGTCCAGTCTGTGAGTTTCCTCTGATGTAACCACAGATCCAGGTATCACCACACGAACCCCATTTTACAAAGTCTAGACTTAGTCTGTTGGTGTTTTTTGTTGCAGTGAGTGAATAAAGTCAAACCTCCATCTTGATGCGTTGTAGTCGTCACTCTTCTGTCTTTGTTGCAGCCTGAAGATAAAAGAGCACAAAACATAAGTGACCTCATCAGCTAACTTTACTAAAGAGATTTGGTGTCATGTGAAATAGATCACAGTGATTGATTATCTCAGCTTTTAGGTGCCTTTCAGCTCATGTTTGATTTTCACAGCCTCAACTTTACTTTTTTGGATATTTGAATAAATAGATGCCATGAACCTAAGTACGGAAATGTGAACTACCCTGAAAGGCTCATGGGAACTCTGACGTGGAAGAGTTATAACTTGAGTTTGTAACCACAACACACACAGACACACACACAGACACACACACACACACACACACACACACACACACACACACACACACA